TGAAAATTGGCCATATCAGGCCTGATCAAGCCTTATCAATTTGATATGTCTATATCAGACTTGATATAGCTTGATATGCTCATATATAATTTTACATTATTTTTTAATAGGTCCAGATATGGCCTGATATAACTTTATAAAGTTATATATACTTTGATAAACGGAAAAAAAATCCTTGGTCAGGGCTGATATAACTTGATATGGATTCATATAGTCTGATATAGGTACTCATACCCTTATCAGCACATCACTAGTCTTATATAAAGGTACTAGTTAATACTCATATAAAGGCATACCCGAGTAAAAAATCTATATAGCATTATATATGATTCATATATAATTATATAGAGACATATGTAATTCATTTATAATTATATAGATGTATATATAATTCATGTGAAATTATATATGAATCATATAGAATTCTATATAATTTTTTTACTCCAGTAGGTATTTTGTGATTACCATAAAACATTATTTTTTTTTATCTAAGAGTCTGTTACTCCAATGATTAACAATCTTTTAATATACAGTATTTTGCGGATGAAATAATAGAAACTTAAAAATAAATTTAATTTTACAAAAATTATTAGTTTTGTCAAGTTCAAAAATTATTAGCCAGGCCCTCCAGCAATATATAGTTCCATATACTAAACAAATAATTCCATCAAAATTTAAGCTTTCAATTCTGATTTTACTTCGATTATTTTTTTAATTTAAAAGAAATTATAAATTCTAAAGCAACGAAGTATCTAACAATATCGTAGAATCATTTTGCGATTTCATGTATACATAGATAATTTGATAAATCTACATATAGATACCATTATTATTTATAAATATTGATAATTAATAATTTATAAATTAGATAAAAAATTTTGTTTATTACGAACCGATTATGTATACGATTTGCATTACTTGTAGTTATAACAAACTCTGCTCGTCAAGTAAATCTGTTAGGTAAACAGGTAGTGAATTAGATTTTCAAGCGTCAGGTCAACGGTTCGATTCCCACTCGCGCCGATTTTTTTTTCTATGGAATTAATTATTTATAATTATACCTAATTTTATTTAATTATATATGGCCATTTTTCATATATAATTATATAATATAATAATATATAATTTTTTTTACCCGGGCGGGTAGGGGAGGGTGGGGTATAATGGCCCCCCTTCAAAATTTGGTCAAAAAAAATTTTTTTTTTTTTTACCAAATTATCATAAATTTGATATATTTATATATTTTTGAACTATTATATCATACCTGGGGTATAATGGCCCCCCTTCAAAATTTGGTCGAAAAAAATTTTTTTTTTTTTTTTACCAAATTATCTTAAATCTGATATATTTATTTATATATATTTATGATATATATATTTTTGAGCTAATATATTTTATCTGGGGTATAACGGCCCCTCTCAAAATTTGGTCAAAAAATATTTTTTTTTTTTTTCACCAAATTATCATAAATTTTCAAAAACATAACAATATAAATATTTTTAAATAAAGTCTCAAATGTAAATTATTTACAATTATTAAATCATTTATTATTTATATTAATAAATCCTAAGAAAATTATTAATTTTTTTATTAATTATGATAAATTTTCATGAGACGTAACAAAATTAAAATCTTTAAACAAAACATTAAATAAAATTACTTACAATTATTAAATTATTAATTATTATTAATGATGAATTTTTAAAAACGTAAAAATATTAATATTTTAAAATGAAGTCTCAAATGTTAATAATTTACAATTAATAAATTATTTTTCACAATAGTGACAAATATATTCTTCGGAATAATCTTCATTGATTCCCGCACAGGAATCATGAGACCATTTCTTGCAATTTTTGCACTGAATCCATGATTCAGTGGATTTGGAATAAAGTCCATTGCAGTAAAGGCAATGACAATAATTTTTACCACATTTTGAGCCTTTATTTTTAAAATGTTTATTTTTTTTTTGATTTGACTATTTTTTGTTTCGGAGTTACTTTCTTCTTAGCTTCAATTCTTATTTTTCTTTCATTAAGTTCTTGATGATATTCGAGACTTGTAAGAATCGCTGTTTTACCCCGATAACGTTTCTTCGGAGAAGAATCTCCCGACACCGATGGTAAAGGCTTAATGTCATAAGGTGACACTTTAAACTTTACAGACTCTTCAATTGTTGCGTTGGGCATCTCAAAAATAAAAAAATCGTTGAATTAAAGTGTATAATTCTATTTTTATAAAAATAAATATATATTTGTTGAAAAATTATAATACAAGACTTTTATGATAAAGATTACTCACCTTCTTCATCTGACGTAATGGGATAATCTACCAGGTGATATTGAGGTATTTGTATATTAGCAGGAGAAAATGTAGCAGTTGGACGACCAGAAGCAGTATTTTGAGAGTGAGTCTCAGGTAACTCTTCATCAGAACTAGAGTCGATGACTCTTGGTCTGAAAAAACCTACTCGGGATCTCAAAGTACGTGTGCCAGTAGATGTAGAAGCAACTGGTTCATCAGTAGGATAAAATGTAGCAGTTGGACGACCAGAAGTAGTATTTTTAAAGTGAGTCTCAGGTAAAAAAAAGTTAATTTCTAATGTATATACATCAAATTTGTGAGAATATTACAAATTGATAGAAAATAGCAAATTTTTTATTTTTATGCTACTCAC